AAAAAAAAAAAAAAAATATATATATATATATATATATAAAAATACACACATTTAGAACAGAAACACATTTCAGTGGTAACCTTTTTTATTCCAAGGCCTTGCATTATCCAAGACAATATTTGACAGCCCAGCCCCTCTGTAGATTTTTGGTATTTCTGCTGTAGTGAGAGTTTCTTGTTTTCAAACTTTTTAATGTACAGAAACCAGGAGTGTCAATATATTACATAACTAAAATAGTTATTTTAAAATTGTGTTAATATATTTATATGACTTTTCCACTTTGTAATTTATTGAATAAGGTTTTAAAAATTATTTTTAACTCAGTAACTCAATGGCAATTTCTTTATAGTTTCAACTCAATAAAATATTTTAGAGCTTGACATAACTATATATACATATATATATATATATATATATATAAAATAAATTTCCTTGACTTTTAAAGATTTTATTATTTTCCATGATTTTCCAGGTCTACAATTCACTTTTAAAATGTATTTTGTATACTCAGGTTTCTTCATAAATAAAATGACAGTTATTGAGGGAACAAATAAAAAATAAAAAATAAAAGTCAGTTTTCATCTTGATTTTTAGTTTTAGCTTATTTTATTTTACATCATCTTGAGGCCTCCTTGGAATTTTCCTGGGACCCCCTAGTGGCCCCTGGTTGAGAACCACTGCACAATTAACACATTTAGAATCAGGAAAAAATAATTTTCTGAAATCCTCGAGTTCAAGTTTGGTTCTTTTTTGAAAATATATTCAAATAAATGCAGTGATCTCCAAAGTTCTGAGTGTTTTAAAGGACCCATACATTAAATAAAAAATAACTTGATGCAAGTGGTGCGTGTCATGCAACTTGGGTGTAAGAAATGGCAAATATTTGATCTATGGCAACTTCGAATGAAGCATGTTCTGATGTTTATTCTCATCATTCTTTTTGTCTAAAAATAACATATTTAAAAAACAAAATAAAAAGGCATTTTTGACACTAATATGCTAAAGTCATGACATAAATGTACACAATAGCTAAGAGAGTTTTTTTCTGTCCTGCTATCAGAGGTCATTGAGCGCACACCAGACATTAGCAAGGGTGTGATCCTGCCTAATCCAACAGACAATCAGTACCGGAAAAGCTGTTTATCTGTTACCCAGCATCACCCTCAATATCTCATAAAATCTACATTAAGCTGTCGCGTTTCACAATTCTGCGAGGTTAAACACATCACCTCTTACATACACTTTCATAAAAACAGCACCACAAGAAACTGTACAACTCACCTACAAAAAGTGAACACTGCTTAATCTAAAATAGTGTAAACTCTGCAATATTTAATCACAATAAATATATTGTTCTATTACAAGTTTAATAAGATACAAATCTTTTTAAAACTGCATCCCTTAAGAATACATGTGCAAGTTATGTAAACCTTATGAGTGAATGCATCTTTATTTGTCTTTAGAAAGACAGTTACATTTGGATAAAACACTGCACAGTATGTCCATTTTTAAATATTTCAATAAATTAATAAGGTATTTGGGTTGAATGGCAACCTAACCTGGGGCACAAATGTCACAAGGCCCCTCCAACCCACCCAATGAAATTCATAAAGACACAATGCATTTCCCTTCTGTAATAAATCAATTGAATCACATAAAACTATATAACGTAAAATGGGCTTGTTCAGCATAAATATAAAGCACACAAATATGTTAATTTAATATCACTCTTAATAAGATCATAAGCGACAAGATTTATAAACACAACACAGCGTCAATGCAGTACCATTGTGGGACAGAACTGTCCATCCGCAAAGGCACAATGTTGTTTATGTGCTCCACTGTGTGTCTATTTCTCCTCGTCTGTACTGCGAGGTAGAAGCCGTTTTTTGGGGGCCATGATCCAAGCTAAGGCCACTGCTGCCGTGCCGTCCCCACTCTGTCGTGAGAAACATAAGAACGTGGCCCACAGGAACGCTGAACAGCCCATGAATGCTGTCCTCATGTACAGAGGCATCAGAACAAAATTCAGAAACTGAAAGAAAATACAAGTTAATCAACATAAATATGATTAGATGTGAAAAATGAACAATGCCATTTAAGAATATTGACAAAGCAAAGGATGAAGACATGTTTATGGCACTTTCATCTGTGTTTATATATTATGTGGTGACAGAATGTGGTTCTTACCTGCATGAATGGCCAGTACATCAGTCCAGTCTGAAATGTAAAAATATATTTAGACTGTCAGCCATAAAAGATAGATGCTGTCAATATCATTCATTTTATAATAAATGTATTCACCTTTTTCTTCAACACGGAAGTATGCCTATGGGCGAGACTTCCAGTTAATTAACGAGAAGAATAACAACGTGCAGTAAACGGTAAATCTGTTTGCACCACAAATCAGTGTGTTCACAATTAAGATAATACATTAAAATAATATGGTAAGACACACCAATTTTCAATATCAAGCAGCAAAACTAACTTTTTTGTACAGCTAAAAATAGCTGGATGCGGATGAGACCGGAAGCCAGACCCATAGAATTTACAAATGGCCACGCCCATTTTTATGGGAAGAAAAAGGTGATTAACATTTATAAACATATATAAGTGTTCGAACTGAAGGGGGGCAGGGGGGCCCCCCATAAGCATTAAGGTTCCCCCATAACACCCAAAAAAATACTTGGGGGTCCCCTGGTTTTTCAATAAAACTATAATACTTGAAACATGAATATATTCATATAATTGATATTATATATAAATATTTTAAATGTATAAACTCAACATATTTTTCTTAAATATATACATGCATGCGTGCATAATAAATATACACACCACACACACATATATTATGTAAACAAAAACTTTTATTTTGGATGCGATTAATCGCAAATAAATCGTTTGACAGCACTAATACATATATAATGCTTATATAGCATGTGCTTAACTTTTTCTTTTTATCATCTTGACGTGATCTTGACATCAGTAGAAAATCTTGCCTCTAGAAGGACACGAAAGGTTCAGAAAGACTAGAAAGGTTCAAAACTTGAACCTCTGAGGGATTTTTTCAACTACTGTACATATCTGATTTAGACTTCAGCAAATTATTCTCTGTAAAGGAGGCTGTTCATGTGCTATAACTGGTAAAAGATGACTTCTTTTTGGTGGTTCATCAAGGGCCTACCTTATATGTATTAAAAAACTTTTCTCGCCAGTCTGCAAATATGTCCTCTTTGCCCTCCAAGAAACTCACACCTGTGAAGACAATGAATTCAGTGTTTAAACAAACAAGTGTATTATATGAGACTGTGACTGACATTAGGCTACATCACCTGTGTAGAAGACACTGGTCGCCAAAGGTGAAGCAAAAGTTTGGTCCAAAAGCAGTTTGCGGAAAATCATGCTGGCCGATCTTCCCGGGAAACGATGTTCTAAGGCTCGCAACCAGGAGTAATTGAAGTTCCCATGAAAACTCAGCGCCACAATCGCCACGTTTCTCGTGTGCCTCCAGTCCATTTCTTCTCTCTGCGCGATCATGCACTGATGCACGAAATCCCCACCGGCGAACAAGCATCCGTACAGAGTCACATTGCTTATCCAAGGCAATGCCTTTGCTCGTTTGAAAAAAGATTTTCTCATGTTCAACACAACAGAAATTGCTGTAACCTTTGCAAACGATGTCGATGGACAGGAAACAAAACTGCAGCGACCTGACATTGACAGACGGCCGTATATAAGCTCATAAAATATGACCTTTTGCTCTTCAAGTTAAATGTTCAATTAAACTCGATTATTTCTAGCCAGTCTGGTTCAATATTTTTAAAAGGCACAATTAATGACAGATTATTAGCTCATTGTGACTCTTGGTGAACATCCTTCAGTTTCTAAACATCAGAAGATCATTACAAAGCACTGCCAAATAAAACACAGATCAATCGAGTACTAGAGTTCAGTCCATCTTCTCGGACTTTAAAAGAGACAGCAAGGCAAAAATAAGAATTACGCTTCATTAATCCATTAGCAATTAAATGAAAAGGTTCCAGCGCGCGTTGATCCAGTGATCAGCAGTTTCCCGTTACTTTAGTCAGGTGCTCAAATCCCACATTAATCTGCCCGCGAGCTCCTGCGCCTTCACGGGTGGCGTGCCTAAATCTGATCTGTATGTAATAAAGATCGACCACACACTCAGTAAGACCAGGCACTAGCTTTTATGTTCGTGTGATCAACGTTTACTGAGACTTTTAATGCTTACACGATTTGAACATATTTCATCTTTATATGCTCTAATGTTATGTGACATGTTTGTTTGGCATTGAGATGAGCTCATTCTATAACTTCACGGTCATAGCGTAATATGCGTCAATTTAATATGCGCAAACTTCCCCAAATATTGTTTTATTTGTCCTATTCCTCTGGTTCTAAGCATATTCCTGGGTTTTTAGCAATGCGAAAGAATCGTTGATTTGAATCGTATATCTTTTCAATGTCGAAAAATCAAACATCGCCTAAACGAATCGGAGGTCTATTTCGAACATTTCAGATTCGCAATAAAAAAAAAGTAAACGATATGAAATATTTGAATAACAGCAATTCTACAAATAAAAGTTATTCAAATGTGTTTGCAACTTGTTTATGCGACGGTTTCATCAGCACACGAATCTGATTTGTTTTGGTTAATAGAATAATAAAATAAAAAGCAAAAACTTTTCAACCAAAGTCATGACTCGTGTAGATTATTATTTTTTATTTTTGTATATATTATTTTTTATTTTTTAGATTTTTATTCTTATTTAGGCTACTATGTTTTTATGAGCTCAATCATGGCAACAACAAACGAACATGGACACCTTATTTTTATTTAATCATAAAAGGCATGTGATTGACACTTGAGATGTCAGAGACCACGTGATGACGTAAAAGTGTTTTCGAACCTATTTATTCATTTTTTTGCAACGACCTGTTCGAAAGACCCGATTCGGCTCGGACTCCACATCACTTCACTGCATTATTACATGTCTTTGCATTGATGGGGTAAAGCGAGGAGCTCACGAGACTGTAAAGGGGGCGTATGTTTAGGCTACGTCAGCGCTGCCAGCGTGGAGCGGCATGACACCAGGAAGTAACGCAATTCAATTGACTATACAAATATCGAAGAGAGAGGGTACCCGAGGTGGATTTTTGTGCTTGGATTTGCTTCCCTAAAATACACAGCACGCGACGACGCACGGGGAACACGCAGAGTCCCTGCGACGGGGTTTTCAACATTGCATGGATAAGCCGCCTGTGAAGGTAATGTAGAACAGCGCGTATCATTCCCTGAAGGACTCGCTCATTTGATTAAAGTGCAGGAAACTTATTCACTGTCATTGCCATGGGGAGGATGATGCGGAGCTCTACCGGATTCATTAGAATCATTTGTATCGAGTATTTGCTGTTAGTGCGTAGAGCTTGATACTCGCCGTCTTCTTTAAACGTGAAAGTGCCGGTGAAAATTTGTGTCATTAATAGATGGTGGTCTGCAAACCACTGTCATGTGCAAGTTGGATCCAAAAAATCAATTGTGTTGCAAAATGAAGTGTTGCATTAGAGCAGGATGCGCACGAGGACATGACATAAAATTTTTCCTCGTCTGGACAAGGTGGACGTACCAGATGAGTGCTAGTGTACTGAAATGAGCCTTGTCATCCGACAGGTTTTCGCCTTTAACACGCCCCACATCCTGAATATCAGGAATTATAAGTGTAGAACTGATAAAGCAAGAATTAAGACAGCGCCGCGAGGCTCATCTTACACAAATTAGCACAGTTTACAAATAGAACAGTGTTTGTCAAGTCTGCAAATAGTGTTTGTGTTATTTATTTTGTGCTTAAATGAGGCCTAAATGTTTCCTCCTCTCATAGTCAGCGAGAGTGCCCTACAGGTGAAATATGATGAGTTTTGTTAAAGCCTGAGGAATCATTTTATTTGATGTTACAAGTAATGTGATATACAGCCATTGTCATCAAGTTTGCCAGTTCTCCAGCGTTTCAGTGCAGTGCCCTTCAAGGATAACCATATATATTTACTGTGTAATTGTAGATGATGGACCCTACACTCGCTGAGATGGGAAACCATCTCTCTGATGCCATGAAGATTTTGGAAAGTGGAAAATTGTGAGACTTCACCTTTCATATTACAATATTTTCAGTAATTGCATTTAAAATGGCAATACTAAGCCATCTTTATGTTATGTTGACCGTATGTCCATAGTTTAGTTTCACATATAACTCATATAACGATGTTGGGATGTATTCAGGGAATCTGAACAGGGCAAAGAAAGAAGAAAGTTGAGTTGGAAAGACTTTCCAGGACCCTTGCAAGGAGAGTGAGTGAGACTCTAATACTGTAAATCACAGTTTACATTTACACTGTTTCTTGCCTTGCTGTGTAACTCTACTTTGTTTATTTCTAAGACATTTTGTGGGGTTTAAAGTCAGCGCATATTAGCTATAAAACACTTGAAGGCCTTTCTTAGCCTTTTCCTTTTTCCATATTTTTCTGACAGTGGACAGGATGTTGTCAGCATACTCCAGCTTGTCCAGAACCTGATGCATGGAGATGAGAAGCAGGGTCATCGGTAGGTCACAGCATGCTCGGTTTGTCGTCCTAAAGCCAAGAAATTAATCCCTTAAGAATTATGAACAGGTTTATAATAAAACGATTTTAATACTTTTATTCGACAAGGTCGAGGATGCATTAAAGTGATGGTAAAGGCATTTGTAAGATTTCTATTTCAAGTAAATGCTGTTCTTTTGAACTTTCTATTCATCAAAGAATCCTGAAGAAAAGTATCACAGTTTCCACAAAATCTTAATCTGTTTTCAACATTGACATATTTCTTAAGCAGCAAATCAGCATATTAGAATGATTTCTGAAGGTAATCATCATGTGACACTGAAGACTGGAGTAATGTTCAGCTTATAAATTACATTTTAAAATATATTACAATAGAAAGCAGTTATTTTAAATTTTGGTAATATTTCACAATATTACTGGTTTCACTGTATATTTGGTCAAATAAATGCAGGCCTGGTGAGCATAAGACACTTCTTTCAAGAACTTCTTACAAAAAGTCTTACAGACCCAAACTTTTGAATGGTGGTATACGTAGAATACTTTAGTAAAATAAGGTCTGTGTTATATATTACTTGTAGAACAAAATGGAAAAGTCTCTTAAATAGGGATGCACCGATATTAACATTTTGGCCGATACGATAACTGATAATTCTTTATTTTTGAAAGCCGATAACCGATATGTTGGCCGATAAATATATATCCAAATGTTTATATACTTTTTCAGGCGCTCTTTTAACTTAACCAAACGCATTCTATACTAGATAAATCAGATATACATCAAATAAACACAATAATACAACGTAAAATTGCACAAAAGGCTGCAAACGAACAGAGCACATCTGAAGTGTCTCTGAAGGAAATAATGCATTATTTATCGGCTTTAAGATATCGGCAAAATTTTCTTATCGGGCCGATACCGATAACAGAAAAAATGAGCATTTATCGGCCGATACCGATATGGTGGCCGATATATCGTGCATCCCTACTCTTAAATAAAAGTCTCTGAGTAATGCCGTAGGCCTTATTTTACTGATGAACCAAACCTATGCTGAAATAGTCTTTAGGGTTGGTCTACAAATTGATGTCAAGACCGAACAGCTGCATTATATTGCACTCAGAGCATGTGTAAACCCCTCTGCGTGTGTCATAAAACAATGAACGTCTGTTTAGCAGGATGCAGTATGTCGGAGAGCAGGGACACATGGCTCTATTGGGACACAGTCTGGCTGCATATATTTCTGTCCTGGAACGAGAAAGATTGAGAAAGCTGACCACACGCATCCTGTCGGATACCACTCTCTGGCTCTGCAGGCTTTTCAGGTATGCTCAAGTTTTCACAGTGATCTCATGTGGTTTCGGGGGTTTCTCTTCTCCCTGTCATACAAACACTTATAAGTGATTTAAAGCTATTTATAGAGATGTGTGTAAGAGCATTATTAATAGGCTCCACCTTTGGTTCACCTCAGCAAATTTTATTGGCAGTGTCTTCACTTGAAAAGCTTAGGCGGCAAAACACTGAGCTTTTCATTAGAACCATGACAGATTTAATGCTGAATAAAAGTGGACAAGGGGAATCTTTATCTCAAGTCTGTTTTTTCAGTGTGCACCTATTATATTAAATAGGTGCTTTTACAATTTTATAAGATGATTTTTTTGAAGCAAATTACTAGGGATGCACGATATTGGATTTTTGCTGAAATTTTTCAACTCATGATACCGATACCGATATATTTCCTTTTGTTTGGAAACAACACCAAGTCTCTCCTGTGCAGAAATTATAAGCAAAATATTTTAAATTTTGGTTAGTTTTTAAGCAAGAACTTATTTGTTAGAATTAAATAAACAATAATGAAGGTTTTTTGACAGTGCATTGAAGCTTTGAAAATAACTATAAATAAACTATATATCAATCCCTGCATTTTTTTTTGCCCAGAAAGATGCAAGGTTAACCCTAACATTTTATTTTAAGATTTAACATTTGTAGATGGTCTAAAGCAAAAGAGTTGTACAAATTCTGAAAATCTTTTAGAGCTTATGATTTGTTTAAAAAATAAAACATATTACACATTAATGAATAAATCAGTATACTGTATATAAAATTATTTAATTTACAAGTGTCATGTTTGTGATTTTTTTTTCATGTTTCATTTTTCATTACTGCTGTATTTAATCAGAAACACAGTCTAATGGCGCTTTTCCACCGTGTGGTACGACTCGGCTCGGCACGGCTTGGTTTGCGTTTCCACTGCAGTTCAGTACCGCTTTAGAGTGGGCGGGATTATTCACATGTCGTTATAGTTGCGCCGCCTCTATTGCTGCGACTCCTGAAAAACTTTTTCATTCCGCGTCACCCCATCAAGCTCGCTGGATCCGCTCCTCTGCTATCAACGAGAGGAACATCTGTACTTCCTCAACAGACAACGAAACAGCCACTTTTTGGTTGTTAAAAAAGGTGCGCTTGTTCAAAACAGCTGCGTTCGATCCTTCGCTGGCTGTGCTGATTTAAGATTAAAACTCCTTACCGAACGGGCGTTAGGACCTGGGGTAGGCTGCTGCGTGCTATTACTGTTCACTCTATCACACACCGAACGTGTCATTCTGTAAGTGCTTTCACAGATTAAATGCAGCGATCCAAACAGTCAATCTAATCATCATTCAGACAAAACTTTGCTTCAAGAATGAGCCACAATGCTGACGTGATCTAATCGCTAGCACACCTTGAGCACATGTGAGTTAACACATTCCTCTTATCGGCAAGACATATCGGCATCATTTTTCATATCGATATGAAAAAAATATCGATATATATTGATATCAGTATCGATATCCGATATCAGTCCAATAATATCGTGCATCCCTACAAATTACTACATGATTTAACTTTTTCTACAGGTATTTTTTTAAGGATGCACTGATTTTTTTAATTTTGGCTGATACCAATAAGCAAATAATTATTTTCATATAATGTCCGATAACCGATAAATGGCCAATATTAAAATTCTATAGTATTTTTCCAAAAAATTTAAATAAAACACTAAAAACTAAAAGCAATCATTTTAAATGTTGCTAAATTTAGACATCATAACGTTATAATGAACAGAATAAAAATGGATCTCCATTTTGAGATTTGCTAAAGATTACATTTAAGATATTTCAAAGTTAATTCTTTTTCGTAGATATGAAAATGGCTCAGCATATTATCATGAAGATGACCGTGAGGGGCTGGTGAAGGCGTGTCGGCTAGCTATTAATACTCATTATGAGGACTACGCTACAGAGGGCTTTACATTGCTCAGCTCTAAACATCCTGTGATTTACCAAAGTGCTGCATGCAGACCTGGCCTGGGACAACATCTCTGCAGCCAGGTACAATGTCACCTCCACGTCACACATCAGTGCTGCAGGATCTGAAATGTTTCACATTACCTCACTATATCAAAAAATTGTGTGTGTGTTTATGTGTAGTGGATACTGCTTACTTTGATAAGACAACTTTTTGTGTGTTTGTTTTTCAGCTGGGACTGCCTCTGTCAAGTCTTTGTATTGTGCCCTGTAACACCATGTTTGGCTCGTTGCACCGAATGGTAGGAAGTTGTCTTTTGGTAGATAAGTTTAGAATTTATTTATGTTTTTAAAAGGGATTTTTCTTGGGTTCACCAAGGCTGCATTTATTTGACCAAAAACACAGTAAAAATAGTGATATTGGTAAATATATTGCAATTTAAATGAACTATTTTAATATATTTTAAAATGTAATTGAGTCCTATGATTGCAAAGCTGAATTTCCAGCAGCCATTATTTTAGTCTTCAGTAGCTATGTTTCCATCACCCTGTTTCTATGCGCATTTTGAAGTATCACATCAGAAATGAGTGATGGAAATGCCAAATTTCAAATAAAAATCCTTTAATTTGCAAAAAAGCTTTTACGCTCGCTTGAGGTGGTTTTCGGCTTGTGCGAAAAAGTGTTATTGCAAATAATGGAAGATGGAAACACATTTGCCGAGTAAATTTCTCCATGCGCATCAAAAAAGTAATGTGACTTTGCGCTATGGGACGACAAAACCTGACTAACCAGCGGACCGATCTTGTTCAACAGCATCTGAAATGTTTTTATGGTCATTTTGAAATGCCCGAGCAAATTCTGTCATCAAAGTATTTCTGTATAATTGCCTCCCAGAACTGTTACACGACTGCGTTCCCAAACAGCAGGCATCCACCTCCGAAAGCAATGACCACATTTATTTTGTTTTGTCTGCTCGCTCGCTCGAGGTGCAAGTAATTTATTTTATTATACAGTATATGAAAATTATTATATTCAGTGGCTTCTCCTACTTTTCTTAGTGATATATAGTGCCGGTTTACCAGGAAGTGACGATTTTGTTCTCTTTGACTCGTTGGATGGAAACGGTGCTTATTGGCAAATATTTTATATGATATTTCAATTTTGTGCATAAGTTAAATTCGCAGCTTTGGATGGAAACCCGGCTAGTGTCACATGATCCTTCAGAAATCATTCTAATATGCTGATTTGACTGTTTTTAAGGTAAATAGTCAACATTTGTATTTGGAAATTGGTTTGAGCCTAACTGATATATTTTAAAAAGTATCACCTAAGTGTATTTTAGAATTTGTGTAGTATTAACCTTAAATGTCTTATATAGCGTCTTGTTAATTGTATGACTTTTGTTATTTATTGAGTTTTCACCATGCAGATAACCTTGCTGCTGACATGATGGTGTTAAAAAAATTCAATAAATAAATAAATATGTTAGGTTGCTGCTCAAACAATTGTTATCAAAGGTAAAAACAGTTATGCTACTTAATATATTTTTTTAAAGCCGTGCTAATTCTTTTCAGTAGGTCTGTCACGATAACAACTTTTTGTTGTGCGATATATTGCCCCAGAAATAATTGCGATAAGCGATATTATTGTCATTTTAAACACCATTTTATGCCACTGAATATATAATCATAATGAAACAGCATAATAATGCAAGAAGGCCTACACACTTCCAAATTACAACAAACTTTTAATTTTTAAGAATATTTAGATGGAAATGAAGTGTCAAAATATTAGATACCTTAAAAAACCTGAATAAATAGTAAATAAACATTTTCTAACAAAAAGTGCAAAGTAACAAGTAGAAAAAAAGAAAACTGCACAAAGAATTTGTATGGAGATTTTTCCATCTACAGATTTTTCCCTGACCTTCTTTTCTCTGTAAATTAAGGGTGCACACTATTGCTGAAAAACACAATCACTACTTAGCAGTCAGATGTCCGCATGCACAAAGGCACAGATCCCTAAACAAGGCCATATCTGCAGATG